TCCAGTGACCAGTATATTTGCCCTCTACCAGACTCCTGTACCCCACTGGTCTGGGTCTGTCACACAGGGTATACCTTATTACTGAAGTGTATGTTTTAGCCATGTGATGGATCAATCAGTGCAGTAACTTGTACCAGGAATAACTCGCTTGAAGAATTCAGTCCCAACACAGGCACTGATCCCCTAAACACATACACATGTGAGTTACCTTAATGGAAGTTTTCTTTGAATTAAGTATAACAATGAATAATACAGTAGTAAAGTAGCCATTGTGTTATTTATTTCAATGTTAAATTCAGGAGTTTTGTATTGGCTCCCATTACATTTATTACACTTCATTTAGTATGCTGAAGATTTTCATTGTGGTAATACCAAACTGCATGGTGGAAGCTGTCTCTGATGAAGCTGGAGATTTTGGCAGCTTGGGAGGGAACAGCTGGGCATTTGGGCTCCTGGAGAGGCAGCTTGGGGCAGTGGGATAAGAACATAAGAACAGCCATACTGAGTCAGACCAATGGTCCATCTAGCCCGGTATCCTGTCTTCTGACAATGGCTAGTGCTAGGAGCTTCAGAGAGAATAAAGAGGACAGGGCAATTTCAAGTGATCCATCCCCAGTCAGCCAGTCCCAGCTCGTGGAAGTCATTAGGGACACCCGGAGCATGGGGTTATGTCCCTAATAGCCATTGATGGACCTATTCTCAATGAATTTATCTAATTATTTTTGGTATCCAGTTATATTTTTGGCCTTCACAACATCTCATTGCACAAGTTCCACAGGATGAATGTGTGTTGTGTGAAGAAGTACTTCCTTTTATTTATTTTAAACCTGCTACTTATTAATTTCATTGGGTGACCCCTGGTTCTTGTGTTATATGAAGTGGTAAATAACACTTCTCCATTCACTTTCTCTGCACCATTCATGATTTTATAGACCTCTGTCGTATCTCCCCTTAGTTGTCTCTTTTCTAAACTGAACAGTTCCAGTCGTTTTAATCTCTCCTCATATGGAAGTTGTTCCATACCCCTAATAATTTCTCTTGCCCCTCTCTGTACCTTTTCCAATTCTAATACATCTTTTTAGAGATGGGGCAACCAGAACTGCATTCAGAATACAAGTTTGGGCGTGCCATGGATTTATATAGTGGCATTATATTTTCTGTGTTATCTATTCCTTTCCTAATGGTTCCTAACATTCTGTTATTTGTTGTTGGGTTTTTTTTGACTGCCACTGCATATTGAACAGATGTTTTCAGAGAACTGTCCATGATGACTCCAATATGTCTTTCTTGAGTGGTAACAGCTAATTTAGACCCCATCATTTTGTATGTTTAGTAGGGATTTTTTCCCCATGTGCATTACTTTGCACTTATCAACATTGAATTTCATCTGCCAATTTATTGCCCAGCCACCCAGTTTAATGAGCTCCCTCTGTAGCTCTTCACATTTAGTTTTGGACTTAACTATCTTGAGTAATTTTGTATCATCTGCAAATTTTGCCACCTCACTGTTCACCCCCTTTTCCAGATAATTTATGAATATGTTGAACAGTACAGGTCCCAGTACAGATCCTTGGGAGACCCTGCTCTAATGATCTTTGGGTTCATTAAATAACAAACCAGTCAATGAAAAAGGAATTAAACTTTAATAAAACAAACTGGAGAGCATCTCTGGTGAACTGCTGCACACATCCATGCGATATTCCCAACCCCCGCCTTCAGGGCACATCTCTAAATTCCGGAGCATTTCTAAATTATTATCTTCTACAAACATATCTCTATGCCTATTATTTACCTCTCTCCACTGTGAAAACTGACCATTTATTCCTACCCTTTCTTTTAACCAGCTGCTGATCCATGAGAGGGTCTTTGCTCTTAACTATGACTGCTTAGTTTTCTTAAGCACCATCGGTGAGGGACCTTGTCAAAGGCTTTCTGAATGTCCAAGTAGACTATCTCAACTGTATCACCTTTGTTCACATGCTTGTAATAGATTGGTGATGCGTGGTTTGCATTTACAAAAGCTGCGTTGACTCTTCTCCAATATATTGTGTTCAACTATGTGTCTGATCATTTTGTTCTTTATTGTAGTTTCAACCAGTTTGCCTGGTACTTAAGTTAGGCTCACCGACCTGTAATTGCCAGGATCGCCTCTCGAGCCTTTTTTTAAAAATCAGCATTACATTATCTCTCTTTCAATCATCTTGTACAGAGGCTGATTTAAGCAGTAGGTTACACACCACAGTTAGCAGATCTGAAATTTCATATTGGATAAGCATGTCAGGACATATTTCTGCTAAAATGACCAGCAGCAAAATAGCTAACAGCCTTGACAATGAAATGATCTTATTTATATTTCAGAGTTAACACAACCTATTTAAATGAAGGGGGCTGTTCACATCTCTCAAAACTAATGTCTCATGCTTGTCTGCAACTCAGAAAGGTAGCATTATATAAGTTTCCATTTGGTTTGTTTTCTAAATTATTTCAGCAACCATAATTATTAGAAATATTTTTTTTAACGGAAAGCTTTGATTTTGGAGCATAATTCTTTAGTAAGGGATGAATTCTATGGCAAATTGCACAGCTGCAGAATCACAGAATTCACAGGGCCCTTGAAGTACAAATGAGAGAATTGGGCCCAAATCCAACAAGAGGCAACATCTGGTCTTTACATTCGAGTGTCCATCTGAATAGTGCATAGTTATTTTATTGCATATTTCATATTTTCATTTGGAACATTGTTTAATGCTAGTTCATGCTCAGCTATTTCTTAAACATTTCCTTTTTTGGTTGTCGGGAATATTCTCAGAAGGGTAAAATAACTTTTACATTTCTGGTTCTTTTCAAGGAATTCAACTCACTTTTAATGTAGTTTTTTTCTGCTCTGTTAGATGATGGCAGACCTCATGTTCAGAAAACAGAAGTATGAACAAGCTATAAATCTTTACCAAAATGTTCTGGATAAAGCACCAGGTATCTTCTATTAAATAAGCTGGAGTTTTTTCAGATTTACCCTATTTTTAAAAGACTAATTAATGAAAATATGTGACAACTCTGTTGTCTTAATTTCATCTTCAAGACTTCCAAGTAGCATGTTCTATTTATTACAAGGAGCTTCTATAGTCCCACAAGACTGAAAGGAACAAGATGAATGGGTCTGAAGCTTTGGGATGGAGACTTTGCCTTGGCACTTCAAAAGAACAGGAAAAGTTGGTGGGGACTGGGTTCTCTTGTGTCTTTGGAGCTCTGCCATTTTCCCTTTTGAAAGCCTTAGTCTCTTCCCAGCTTTGAATCCTCTAGGCAGCATTGCAATACCCTACTGATAACTGCCTACAGCAAAACATGGCCTTTTTTCACATTTTAAATTAAAATGTAAGCTTAACATGAATTCAGATAGGCTGAGTTTTTTCAATACAAAGATAAAGTTTACTTTCTTACGTTGTTACATTATTATGTCATTTTAGATAACTTCTCGGTAATGGAAAGGTTAATAGATTTGCTAAGAAGAAGTGGTAAGCTTGATAAAGCTACATATTTCTTTGAAATGGCTAAGAAAAAGTCAACTCGAGTACTCTTGGAGCCTGGTTATAACTACTGCAAAGGACTTTACTGCTGGTAATTTATACTGAGTAGTCTTTAGCAATGTTATAGATACCTTGATGAGTAAGGCTATGCAACCCCTGTATAGCTTACGTGTCCTGTTTCAGGTTCATTTTGGGAACTGAGCCTTGCAATTTGGTTTGCGAGACCTGGAAATAAACCAGCGTCTCAGGTTTGTTGGGAAGTTAAAGTTCTAATACAAATTCAATTTTCTACTGGGCTCAAGGCTTTTTGTGGGAGAGGGCAATGTTGTTAATAGAAAAAAGAAACTCAGGTGAATATAGGAAAGTAATGGGTGGTGTGTAAGAACCTGAATAGAATAGAACAAACTCAGTTGACTTGAATATATCAAACTCCATACAAGAGAGTTGAAGTTTGATTGTAAATATTTCACATGGCTCTAAAATCAAGAAGTGAAATCTGGCCCCTTTGAAGTGAATGACAGAAGTCCTGTAGACTTCAGTGAGGCCAGGATTTAATCCAAGATATTTGGATGTAATATGTTAAACTTCATGTTATGAGGGTCAAATAATGAAGAATAGTTTCTGCTTTATATAACACCTTTTTATTTGGGGATCTCAAAGCACTTTCCAAACATATGAGCCCCACAAAGCACCTCAGGTAGATATTTTACCTGTTTCACAGATTGATAAATCAAAGCTGCAGTTAGCCTACCTTAATGAAGCCTTGAAGTCTGTCTCTGCTTGAAAATGTGACTCTAAAAATGGCATTGCTGGGTTCCATATATACTATGTTTCAGTGATTCAAGTATCAAACTAGGACAAGTCAAAAGATGTTTTTCTACTAACTGTTAGCCCTGCAGACTTAATCTGGGATCTGACCGATCAAGCTGGGTTCTTTCCTTCTCATGAATAATAAAGGTTCCATAGGCCAAAATGTTCCTTGTTCTCATTTGTGAAAATGTACTGTATTCAAATTATACCCTTAGTAATATGTGTGCATCCTGATTATCAGAAGGGGGTTCCACAGGTATAATTGATTGGAACTTAACAAATGAGTTTGTTGATGATGCACAAGTTGGAATACAATGCACAACTCACTTACTCTTAGCTGTGATGGCTTTGCAGTGCTAAAAGGAAAAAAGGAATAAAAATATTTATTCTGTAGATATCGTCTGTGCAGGATTTTCAGTTCCTGGGTCTTGGCTTCTTAACATGATTGTGGTGGAACTTACCTACCTCTCAAGATTTTTTGACCATCATGGACAGCAGTAACAGGATAGGGCATGAGCCAGGGCCCCTACTAACTGTTGTGCACTACTCCCTCCAAAGTATAAACGCTGCCCACGAGTTATTCCAGTCAGCAGTCAGCAAAGGAGGTTCTGTTCTTTATTCTGTATAGATTCATACTGCACACTCATCATGGTAGTATCTGACCACCTTCCAGTAGTGCATAAATAAGGCTAACATTTTGTCACAAGTATTTTTAGAAAAGTCATGGACAGGTCACAGGCAATAAAGAAAAATTCATGGAAGCCTGTGACCTGTCTGTGACTTTTACTAAAAATATCGATGACAAAATGGGGAGCTCAGCTGTGGGGTCCCCACCCCACCCCACAATGGCTAGGCAGCTGCAGGGGCCTGCTTGGATCTTCAAGGCCCCCACCACCTGTGAGGGCTTGGAGCTCCAGAGTCCCCCACTGCCTGTGGCAGCCAGGGTAACCCTGTGGCGGCCGGGAGCTCTGGGGTCCTCCCACTGTGGACAGTAGGGGGACCCTGCAGCTCCCATCCGCTGGGGTCTGAGGTCACGGAGGTCACTGGAAGTCACAAATTTTGTGACTTCTGTGACCTCCGTGAAAAAATCATGAAACAATTGACCAACATCTATAACGTATGGTTCATTCTCTCCCTAGGGGGAGAATTGTGTGCTCAGTGGAGTGTTTTCTTTTGTTAGGTTTTTGTTTCTGGTATTTTTGTTTGTTCATTTTTAAGTGTACATAGTCTATGCTGCTTTCCAAGATTCCAGCAATGCTCACTGAGGCCCCAATTCAAGTATGCACCTCTATTCAGGAAAGCATTTAAATACATGCTTAAATCCCACTGAAGTCAATGAGATATAGGCTTAAAGTTAAGCATATACTTAAGTGGTTTCCTGAAAATGAATGCATTTAAGCACATTCTTAAGTACTTTCTTGAACTGGGGCTTGAGTATCTTTTAACTTCACTTTCCTTTTCCTTCATGTTAGGTCTGGTACGGTTGCTATATAATTGAGGCCTTTGCTAGACTCTGATAATATTAGCAAAGAACAAAACCACAACCACATTTAAATAATGTATTCATATAACACAGGGGTCTCAAACTCAATTTACCTTAGGGCCAGTTCCAGTCCTCAAATCCTCCCAGCGGACCAATAATGTTGCTCATGCCGCCCAGAACCCGCCCCCCAAAACTCCACCCTGCCCAAAACTCTGCCCCCCACCTGCCTAAGGCTCTGGGAGGGAGTTTGGGTGAGGGAAGAGGTCTGGGGTAGGGGATTGGGGTGCAGGCTCTGGGAGGGAGTTTGGGTGCAGAAGGGGTGAGAGGTTGGGTTCTGGGAGGGAGTTTGGGTGCTGGGTGCAGGCTCTGGGCTGTGGCACGGGGTGGGGGTGCAGGAGGAGGGGGTGAGGTTTCAGGCTCTGGGAGGGAGGAGGGATGCAGGCTCTGGGAGGGAGTTTAGGGGTGTGAGGGGGTGCGTGGCAAGGGGGAGGGGGAGAAGGTTCTGGAAGGGGGTTGGAGGGTGCAGCGCTTACCTGGGGCTCCAAGGCAGGGTGGGCGGGGGAGGCCTCCGCGCGCTGCTGCCCCCAGGCACCGCCCCCGCAGCTTCCCATTGGCTGCAGGGGCGCTCGGGGCAGGGACAGCGCACGGAGGCACATCCCTGCCCTGGGGCCGCAGGGAGGGGCCAGCAAACACATGGAGCGAGCAAGCAGACGCCATTGTAAATCGCCTTGGGGGAGGGAGCGCCCGGGGCGGCAGGTGGGGCCAAGGGAGAGAGCCGGCCCCAAAACTGCTGGAGCCCCGCGGGCCACATTGGGGATGTTCGTGGGCCGCAGATGGCCCGCAGGCCAGGAGTTTGAGACCCTGATATAACATTTTCTATTTATGTGGCTTTCTGTACAGTTAATTTGATTTTACATTAATATATCAAAAAAAGACAAACAAATACAGGAAAACAGGATCATCATCCATAGAACAATAAGTAATAAGAATTAGTATACAGTACAGTAAAAGAATCCATACACACAAGAAGATCAGTACAATATAAAGTAAACTAAACAAGCATCTGGTGCAGATTATGCACTTTTTTATTCCTATTTTTCATAGAATCCATATGTACAAATGTTCTATACTTATAACAAATATTCCAAGATTTTTCCACGCTGACAAAGGCCTTTTTCATTAGTGCTTTATGTATATAAATATGGAAATGTTATTGTTAAGATTGATGATCACCCTACACGCCTGCAACTGCATATTACATATTCTCTCCAAACAGGCACATGGGAAAGCCCAATCAGGCACTGAAGTATTTCAACAAAGCTCGAAAAGATAGTGACTGGGGCCAGAGAGCCATCAACAATATGATTCAGATCTGCCTAAATCCTGATCATGAGATAATAGGAGGAGAAGTGTTTGAAAGCCTCAATGAAGAGGACAGGTAAAAGAGAAACCCAACACTTATGGAAACAATTTGAAATAGAGAAACATAATGGAATATCAAATTCATTTTCCATTATAAGTCTCAGACTAACATAAAGCTCTGGTCATTTCTTTCCCCGCTACATGTGTAAAGAGAGGCTAAACACAGCATTTCAGTTCAGCTGTGCCCTCTACACTATATTCACTAACAGAAAATAGAGACGTTTGCCATATTTGTGGGTTTAAAAGAAAGGAGGCGAATTTAATGCTTGTGGAAAGTACTGGACTGAGAGACCTGGAGGCTGAAGGCCTGTATTTAGACACAGAATAGATACATGGGGAATGGCAGTTTAAGGTGCTTCAGCTCTGGTCTGGAAGGGACAATGGTCTGTAATCTAATATGTGTGAGTTATGATGTATTAGAAGAAGAAATGCAAATCTCCTGTGTTAAATATGGTGCTATTAGAATTAAAAGATATTGCTTTATCAGGATTTGACACACTAGGAATCATCATGTATGATGTTTAATGATAATTTTAACAGTAACTTAAAAGAGAAGAGAGACTCTGAGCAACATGGGATACACACAGCTGAGAAACTACTTAAAGAGTTTTATCCTCACTCACAAGAGGGACAAAATCAGATGAAGATGTTAAAGAACTGCTGTCTGATGGCCACAAAAGACAAAATTAATGTGGAGAAAGCCCTCAGTGTATTTGTAGAAATGGCCAAAAATGAGGTAAGAAAATTCTTCAATTCATCTTAGGTTCCTTTCTGTTGTAAAACGCTAATAGATAACATTTTGGTTTTTACTAGGAGTATTTTCAATGGCGTGGCCACACATTTTCTCCTTAATTTTAAGATAACAGCTTTGAAATTAATTTAATAGGCATTATAAGGTGTTACTGTTTCAATGTGTGTTTTGTTATTTCCTTGTTAGATGATCAGTAAAAGAGAGAAAACTGCACGCTGCAACATCAGCAGGATAGAGATAAAGCTGTAGAATGTCTGTTTAGCTTTCTTTTTGTTGTCATTCTGCCAGCATCACTGTACTTTGATCTCAGGATGAACCTTTTCTACAAAGTCAGTGGTTGAAATCCTAGCCTCATTGAAGTAACAGAGTTTTTCCCATTGACTTCAATAGAGGCAGGATTTTACCCAGAGTTTTGAAAACTGAATGGACTAAATTTTCAAAAGGAGATGTTTTAGTTGCAAATTGTGAGAAAATAGCTAGTCCCTCTTAATAGATGTACAATTGTACAGGCTTTCAACAACTGGTACTCAGTAGCAAAGCTGCTACTGCCAGAATGGAAATAAGTGGGAGTAGGATATATATTGTACTTTCAACATAGTCTGGAGATCAGTCAGATCAAGTTATTCTTAATATTATGAAAAGAAAATAGGTAAGATTTTTTCATTTTCATTGATGAATGCTTTAATTATATGAAGTGCATGATTAAGTTTGGATTATTGAGGTTTTGGTTAATTAAGGGAATTTTCATTGTAGTCAACTAAATGTTGGGGAACAGGAGTTTGATCCTACAAGTTGCTGAGCACTTTGGTCCTAATCAAGTGAAGTACACCTCCACCCCGATATAATGCTGTCCTCGGGAGCCAAAAAATCTTACCGCGTTATAGGTGAAACCACATGATATCGAACTTGCTTTGATCCGCCGGAGTGCACAGCCCCTCCTCCCCCAGAGCACTGCTTTACCACGTCATATCCGAATTCATGTTATATCGGTTCACGTTATATTGGGATAGAGGTGTATTTATGACATGCTTAATTATAAACAAATGCGTACTCTTACTGACTTCAGGAGGACTACATGAACGCTTAAAGATAAGCACAGGCATAAATGATTTGCTAACTAGGAGGTAAAATGCTCAGTACTAGACAGAATTGAGTCCCAGACCCTGGTTTGGTTAACAGAGTGCTTTGGCTAGTTGAGGATTGGATAGTCCCAGTTGTGCTGTACTGCATTGCACAACTGTGCTAGCACACTCCGACAACACCCAGCTCCAAGGGACTGCATCCTTGCAGTTGTGTGTTTGCTACCATGGCCTCCTGGGATATGGAATGTTTTCCCCCTTGGTATTTTCTATACTCACTTTTAAGAAAAAACTGAAAACTCTTCTTTTTCAAAGGTTGTTTTTATTGTGACCACTGTTGGCCTTTATATGTAGAACATTTTCCTTTTACCTTCCTAGCTTTCTGTTTTTGTGTTTACCATTCTGTTTGTTTTTCATTATATTAGTGGGGGGAGAGGGGTTGTTTTATACAGTGCTTTATGATTGTACACACCCATCCTAGGTGTTTTCATGAGGACAGAGAGAGGACATTCTTTATAAACATATTAGAATGTCATAGTTAAATTTGAGGTTGTTTGTTCTTAACAATTACCTTGTCACCCCAAATACCAATACATCTAGGACCTCAGTTTTACAATAGGATCCACACGTGGATCTTGGGTGTGCTTGGAGTCCCATTGGCTTCTCATTCTTCATCATCATAATAATAAAATACATAACTCTCATGTAATGCTTTCATCTGTAGATCCATCTACACGGTGTGATCATAATGGTCTGTCTGAATGGATTCAGTTGCAAGATTGGGGCATTAGATTGTCATCTCTAATTGTTTATGACAGACTAGATAGCATGAGGAAAATACTCAAGTTTATTTAACAATCTGTTGACAACCATGTTGTTTTTAATAATCCAAGTGAAATTTGGTTCAATAATGAAAGTTGTTAACTTTTAAAGTAAGAGAATAAAACCAATAATGTTTCTAGACCATGGAAAGAGCTTAAAGTTTAAACAATAGTATTTATGCTTTTATTTCTTAGAGGGAAAGCGTTCCAGCTATTTTGGCAATGGCCCAAGCCTATATGATTCTGAAACAGACTCCCAAGGCCAGAACCCAGCTAAAACGGTTAGCCAAAGCTAACTGGACTTCATCTGATGCTGAAGAATTAGAAAAAAGTTGGATGTTATTGTCTGACATATACTGCAAAAGCGGAAAGTATGATCTTGCAACTGAACAACTGAAACGCTGCTTACAATACAATAAGGTGAGAGGAAAAGGAGGTGTTTACAAGGAGATCTTGAAAGGTCAGAAAACATTGTGACCAGTTAGGAACACAAATAGAGTTTTTCATTAATAGCCATTTACAATAACCCCAAAAGTAACAGCTATAAGGAGCAGCTATAATTTAGAACCAGATTTACAATAAAATTTGGTAGTGGATAATAATAATTCAGTTAATGATAGTTAATGGCAAAATCTTCATCACATTGAAATTGGTGAGAGTTTCATTATTGATTTTACTATTGTGACCCTACACACACACACACACACACACACACACACACACACACACACACACACACAA